AAAAAAAAAAAAAAAAAAAAAAAAAGAGCAAAAACGTCACACCAAATACACAAATGGTTATCAACTAGTTGCACTTCTCATGTGTCAACTACCTTTTTAAGTACCTTTCAGAACTGTCGCTTAAAAGTAATTTAATGAAATCCAGCTGAACGGTTGTTTTCGTTCAGAGCAGCAGTAACAGCTAGCGAAAGCCAAAATTGAATTCACTAAAGCAAAAGCGTCATCCGCTTTTACCCCAAAGTTTGGATATATGACAGAAATAGTGGTTCAATTAAGTGGTCTCTTAACTAGCAGCGCTCATCGTCACATAAAACAACCAACGACAAACTGCGCAGCAATTCGCGGAGGTGGGTTCAAGTACAATAAATATTTGTTTGTGTTTTTTTTCTTCTCTGCGACAATATACTTATTTCCCGTCACTGTTTTATGTACTCCCCAAAACCTTTTCCAACAAAGTTTACCCAATCTCACTTAACTAATACCACCAGTAAAGTAAACGGCATTATGGAGCATAAAAATCCCCTATCAAACAATGAACCCGACGGGGTGTCACTAACGGGCAACTGAGAATTGCAAAACAAAAGCAGAGTGCCTGGGAAAGACAGCAAAGAGGTCAAAAGATGTTGGCAATAAATCAAACGACATTACTTTAATGCGCACCATTCTCGAAGCACTCCTTGTGATAACTGATTAAAAGCCAATGCGAAGTGCTTATTTCGCTCCCCTACGTGGCAGGACCTCTTGAGGTCATGCCAAGTTTTGTTTTTTTTTAATGTAACTGCGAATATGGTTAGTAAACTGAGAAGTCTTTTAAAATGTCTCCTGTCCTATTCAGCAATGTTGCGGAACGCGGTAATGGTGGCAAACATATCGTTGATAAATTTCAACTAAGACAGTTGGTTGGTCTCTGTTATAGTTGCGTGTTGTTTCTCCATGGAAACATACTTGGCGGTATAAACAGAATTTAAACAAAGGTTGCGAAATGAGTTTTGCGAAATAGTACCAAAGTTAAGAGTATTTTTACCGCGGGAGAAGTAAAAGTATATTTATTGAATGCTTATTATTCAAGTCCTCATTTTGATAACTTTACAAAATTTAGGTAGATAGTTTACTTTTTAAAACAACAATATTTTGTTTGTTAATTTGATACCAGTTTGAAACACTTCCTCAATCGCCTGCTGGGAATAGTACTATTGGCTAAACGGACAGACATAATTCGGTATTTAGTGTTGCTGATGGTTATGTCAAAGAGAAAAACAACTAGTTTTTGTTTGAACTTCAGTTGCAACTGATTTCAAACTCTGAATTTAACTGCGTAAGTTTTTACTTTGTACAACAAAACAATTACAGGTTTTTTTCCCGCCGAAGTTTTTCATTTGGCTGTGGAATATCGATATAAAAAGTAGAGTGATTTGAGTGTTTCAAAATGAAAAAAACGAAGGAGATTGGCACTTACCTAATACTTCAACTTGATTGAAAAACAATTATAATTTGAAAAAGTATACGTTTTCTGATAAGCATAAAATATCTAGGGACCAGCTCAACCAATTGAATCATCTATGAAGTATATTACATATTTTTACAGTTCCAAGAGTTTTGAACGTACAGGTATCAAATACAGCTTTTCGCTAAAATATTAAAAGTTGTCAGGAAAATACTTTATTGTTGAAAATTCAAGAGTAACTGTTTTGCGATGAAGTGGTGAATCGCACTTAATTTGGATTTTACAGTTTCTACAAGATCTCATCATCTAAATCCTATATTGTTACGGTTGTTTTTGTTCATAGCTTAATACAATCACTTTAGAATTTGATTGATTCTCACATATTTCTGTTTTAGTATAACCGTAATTTTTCACCTTCTTTCTACAGTGAAAAATAATTCAAAAAGTTTAGTAAACAGTAATAAATTGAGTAAAAAAGCTTAACAATGACTTGTTCACAAAGTTATTCTGTAAAAACTGTTTGGAATTTCATGTTGTCGAGGAGTTTTTTAAAATACAGGAAGTTTTATTGAAATTCTTCCATTACTTTATTTTTAAAAAGTAAATTTAAGCTGTCAAAGCTTTTAAATTAGTGGTTTTTCACGTTTTTTACGTAATTTATTCTTTTGAGAGGTTTGAGGACGTGAGAGGCTAATTAATTCTAGCGACTGATATTAAAGAACGCATCAAATAAGCCATAATAGCTGATAAAAAGGAATTTATTATAGGAATCAATGTTTAGCTGCTGGTAATGAGAAGGTTTCAGAAATTATAGGTTGGTATTTAAAGGACAGCTTTTTGGACCAGTAGAAAAGCGTCATGCTGGAAATTTATAACGGCAAACGCAGACAAGAGCTCAACGTTGTATGCAGTTTATCGAACCAATATTTTAGGAATTCACTGTCGGTTATAGGGGGACTTATAGTGATAGTGAAGCTTGATGGTACTTGTTTTTGCAATTTTTCTGGTTTGATCACGACAAAAATTTTTTGTTTTATCAAATAGTTTGTATTCAATAACTTACAGATGTCACTTTTTATTATAATGGGGATATAAGAAACTGGGAACTAATTGCATCACTTACGTTAATTTGAAAATGTAATTTAATTAAGAAAATTTTGCAGAAACGACTGAGAATAAAAACATTTTTTTAAGAGCTTCAAAGTTTGTAGTTGAACGTTTTTTACAACAGCCTTGAACTGAGAAAAAATTTCAATATTAGTATCTTATATTAGATTTGGTACCTCTTTAACTCCATTAGTTGTAATACGTTATAGTTCGTTGTTTCTCTTTTTTTTTTTTTTAATTTTCGCAATTTTCTATCACATATAGGAAGGTTTCAACTTGATGAGACTATCCAGTAACTGCTTGCAACTTCACATTCACTTGCTACAGCTCCTTACACCGTAGCAGAGTGATGGCCATTTTTTCAATTTTAGTATTCTTCCAACAAAAGATTTCTGGCATTCCGTAATTAGTGTTTGAAAATTTCAATTTATTTAATTTAGTGATATACTTTCCTGCTCTTTCTTGGCATTTGCAAAAGGTATACTTCTGAATGTAGCGGCTATAACAAGATTGCAGCAGTTAGATATGTGGTTAGTAAAAATGACTTTACATTTCTCTTCGTTATAATCCTGCAGAACCGAGGCCTGAATACAATTTTAACAAAATGACTGAATTATTGGAATATATATGATTAATATGACCCTTACAAATTTTTAAAAAATTTTATTTTTTGTAAATCACGTTTGTTTTAATAATTTAAAAGCAAAGAACTGCATCTCTTCAAATTTTGAATAGTAAGAAGCGATAAAATCTGCTACAGCTGTGTGAAATTTGAACATGCTATGGGCTTTTAGAAGATGAAGCTAATCTATGTTGTTGCTAAAAAACTCTTTAGGCAAGTTGTATGAATAATTAATTTGTCATTTGAAAGAGTAATTTTTTCACAGTTCTGAGAAAAAATAGTTATCTGCGGAATATTTCTTTTTGAAAAGAAATGACTGCCGTTAACAAACGTTTGGTGAAAAAAGTATATTTTTGAAGGTTTTATACGGTTTTACTGTCATTTTATTCATTTTTCTTGTGTATTCTCTTTGTATTTTGAATTAACTGGGCTTACTGCTTGTGAATTTAGACATTTAAATACAAAGTATAAAAGTTGTCTATGTTAATTTAGCTTTTAGAGAAATAAGCTCTTTTTCAGGTAAATTCTGATTTGAATGAGGATTTGTTTTACAGGGAAAACACGTATGCAAGAAAAAGTGGTTTTGTGCAGGGCGCCTCTATTTTGCAGAGTGCCCATAGTTTCTAACATTTTAGAGACACTGTGTCGATTTGTAACTGCAATGCTAACCAAAGTAAGTGCTTCTCGCGTTAAACTAAAGTTAAATCTAGTTGTGAAATGAAGTCGCGTTGGCGAAGGATACGTCATACTAACGGTGAGTTTCAAATACACGTTTAACAGACCAGCGTGCAGATTTTCAAGCCACAAATTACGATAAGGATGAAGCGGATTGAGGAAGAAGACAGGAGGAAGCAACGTGGTTTTAATAAAACTATCACATTTAGAATGCACTTTATTAAAGCTTTTTTAGGAATGTAAAGCTAGCGCTTTCTTCGCTTTACACCATCCCCACCTCATGCTTAATTTTGTTCTTCAGTTACATTCTACAGTTAGTACGTGAACAACAAAATGTTACTTTTATTCATTAATGTTTCTGTTATGACAGATTTAAGAAGCTGATCAGACTGGTGATTAGTAGATAATCAAAGCAAAAATTTTAGTCAAAA